GCAGCCCTCTACCCTCCTCCTGCCCTCTCCCACCTCCAGCCCTTTACCTCCCTCCTGCCCTCACCAGGTACTCTACAACACCTAGCCTCAACATTTTTAAAGAACCACTACTTGGCTTCACAACTGTTTGTTTCATAACGCTGGGCTAGGTGTTCCAAGGATACTGCAACAAGGAATGTGCACTCTATACACATGTATTTATAGCTTATTAAGTGTATATCACTTCTCTCTGGTTTACTTACAGTAACTTTCTCTTGCTTTGTAATGAGAATATATTCATAAATTTCATTTCTCCTCAGTTAGTTGGGACATCATAAGATGACAGTTCTCAAGAAACAAACTCTGTGATGGAAAGAAACACTCTGAAGCTGATGCAGTTACTGACCTCTTAGTGGAATGCTTGACGATATACTCATCGTCCTGCTATATGAAATCCACCCTGTGATGAAATATGACACTGAAACATATCTAGTGTTTTTCTTAAGCAACTATTATATGACAGCAGCACACTGTAAATGTATCTAAACTTACCAAATAAAAACAAAAGGTTTGCTTTCACCATGTAGATAAATGAAAAGCTTAGGTAACATTACTAGGAAGTCAAAGATCGGGACTACAGCACATGGTCCCTGGCACCCAGAGACTTACCACAGTATATTTTCTCCACGTTTGATGAATGTGACGTGAAAACCAAATGCAACGTTCCTAGTTACACACACACACACACACACACACATTATAAAATAATAATATGCTTTCACCAGTCAGAAGGGATGCTGCTCTCCAAGCAGTTTATAGAAACTTCCCTTCCCTTTATCCCTTCATAGAATCGTGTTATAGTGTGACTTCCAAACTATTGTTTGGGGATCAAGAAATTGACTCGTGTGAGGGCGTGCAACAGGGGCACCCCTCGCCCCCTTCTATTTGTTTGGTCATCAAGGAAGTCCGAGCACCCTCCAGTGAGCTCAATATCTGGTTCCTGGACGGACGGACCCTGCTGGCACAATAGAAACTCTCCTAGTGGGCATCGTAAAATTAAGACATGGGAGAAAGCCCCGGGCCTTTCTTTAAACCCCCCAAATGTGAAAATGTTTCTACCAATCACAGATGATCAGAATATTATGCCGTTTTACCCGGAGACGAGCCATTGATCCAGCCAAAAGCCCTCTCGATCTCCTCTTGGTCCAATTTCCATCGTTCTGATCCTAGGAAAAAAAGTCTCGACCTCCGGGCATGGAAAGCAGGATGAAAGACCATTGACACACACGATGGGTTCAAACCCACTCACCAGGGCAGTCCCAAACCCAAAACTTACCCATTTTCTGAGATGCTCCCAGCCTCAGCAGTCCAAAACTCAAGGAATATGACTCTCTCCTGAAGGCCATGCTAGAGAGTGTATTGAATCTTTCCCTTGACGATGGACAGTGGTTGCAAGCCTCACTTCCGGTCAGGCTTGGAGGGCTAGGAGTACGCAGATCTTCCCAGATTGCTCTACCAGCTTTCCTATCCTCTTCCATAGCATCAAACGAGTTGATAAGACAAATTCTTTCCCGACACCCTCAGTGACTCAGCAGGAATAGAAAACCCTAGCTATGCCAGTGTCATCACCGAATGGGAGACTCTTGCTGCTCCAGCAAACCAAAAACCCCAGTGCAGCACTGGCTCACAAACAGTCAAGTGGGATGGCCGATTTGCTGAAAAGGTGCTTGCCAACATGCTCAGGGGTGCAACATCAGATAGGGAGATTGTCAGTCTCCGGGCTGTGAGTCCCACCTCACCCCCGGGACTTCCTCCAAACAGTTCCCATATCGGCAATGGGAACGCGACTCGACCCTAAGACCCTCCGTATTGCAGCGGCTCTGCGCCTTGCTGCCCCAATTCACACAGAATATATGTGTATTTGCGGCGAAGTGCAAGCAGACCAATACGGTCTACATGGTCTTAACTGTTCCAAAACCAAGGGCTGGCATGCAAGACACAATGAAGTCAACGACATTAAGAGAACCCTTGCTACAGAGGGAGCCCCAATCACTAGCAGCCAACAATACCCACAACCCAGCAAACCGCCCCGACGGGATCACCATCTATCCTTGGAAGATTGGCAAGCTCTTAGCATGGGACTAACGTGTGTCCCACTGCACCCTTATCCTCACAGTGGGTGCGGACGAGATCAGATTGCTGCCACCGGGATACAAGATCAAAATTTATAAGGGACAATTATCCTGACCCCCAGTGACTCAATGTCCCTAGTTGCGTGATCAGATGAACCTTGCTGCTCAGGGAAAAAAATGCCACACGGGTCTCCAAACAGTCAAGTGGGATGGCGTTGCTGAAAATCATCGCCAAACACCAGGCGCAACACCCAAGGGAAATGTCATCTCCATGTATGCCACCGCCCTCAAACTTTCGTCTTTCCAATGGGGAAATGCGATCGCCTGACATACTTGGCAGCGGCGTCCGCCTTGCTGCGAAATTACACGAATTTTGTATTTGCCATTGCTATTCAACCATGTTCAGGGATTTTTTCAAAAAGGGGTATGCTGTTTATTAATAAAGTTCACGATATTAAAATATTGTATATATGAGAATACTACAGATACAATACCCAAACCAAAAATCATATATACATATATCCTTGAAGATTGTCAGCTCTAAGCATGGTATAAACTGGTCCAATTAGCTAGACTCATATAATCCATAAGTTTGGGCTAAAATTCTGCTTACACGTTTAAAGATATAGCAATAATGTTAAGCCAACAAGTATCAATTTGCCCAGGGAAGAGACCTTATGGGGAAAAACTCCAACCTTTTTAAAGAATTGGTTCAGCTTCGAACCCAACCCAAGGCACACTTTATGTTAGCCCTAGTGCTTCAGAGAAATGTTATATACTTAGCAAACGTACTCAGTGAAAATATATTTTTTTTGTTGCATGTTTCACGATGATGTTTTTTTCGTAAATTATTTGTATTACACAAATGTTTCACTTATCTATATGCAAGATAATTGTATTTAATATAGATAGAAATTATGCCTTTTATAGACATATATATATATATATATATATATTATATCGTTGTATCTTTTACATGTTGGAACGAAAGGTTCACTATATCCATCTGCTTAGCTCTCCGCGTATACGAGTCTCCATTTTCTTTCTAGTTTTTCCCTAATCTACCTTGTCATAATTCATGACTCGTGACCTGTAGGCTGGTCTTGATCATGGGCGCTCTCCTTGCCACATCCTCCATATTTTTTTTTACCAAATCTCTATTATCTTCATATTCTGTTTCAGTTTCCTTCCGTTAATGTCTTATCGACAATATTTCCTTACTTCCCCAGTTATAACTGTTCTTACCTTATATCTATTTGCATCTTTGTGCATTCCCTCCAAATCCTTGACCATCAGTGCTATTTCCTCACTGTTTCCCAATTACTTAGTACCATTCTGTGAAAACTGCTAAAATTACTAACATTTTTGTCTCGGTAATTGCTATGATGTCTGGTGTTATATCTGATGTACTTGTATACTGTATTCATTAGCTTCCTTTCAATTCATCCTCTCATTTCTATACCAAAATTTGATATTTGTGTTTCTCGCATGTTGTCTTGAAGTGACTTTGTGAGTGAGACAGGTGAGGCATGATCACTTATGGAAAGGGTAGGATCTTCATGTTCGACTTTCATTAGTAACTTTCACAGGTGACCTTCACATCAGTGACCTTTCACATCAGTGACCTTTCACATCAGTGACCTTTCACATCATTGACCTTTCATATCAGTGACCTTTCACATCAATGATCTACACACAGTGGTCTGCACATCTATGATCTTCACATCAGCATTCTTCACATCAGTAATCTCCCTCTCACCTATCATCTGACCCGTCACTAACTTGTTTTCTCTTGCACAGCATAAGCACAGTCTGATCTTTTAACATGTTCGTGAAGGTCGTCATTTGCTTCCTTACATCCATCCTCTCCCCCCCTGCCACCATTTTCTCACACTGCTCAAAAATACTCTCTCAATTTTGCCATCATTCCATTCAATAAAACCATTTATTCACCACACTTCCTTCACATTCATTTCCTAGAAGCATCCTTTTAAAAGTTTCGGCCATCTCCTGTCTGTACATCGTTTCTTTCACTCTGGTTCTCCGTCTGACCAAAAGATTGTCAAGTGTTGTTCTTATCCCCTTCTGTTGGGTTCTCCTTACATTTCCTGCTATCCACTTACACATCCCACCGCTTTTCTTGCCAGCTCTTATATTTTTTTTTCTGTTCTTCTTCCCTCTGTCAATCTCCAATTCATTTTCTCTAATTTCACTTTTCTTTTTCACTCTCACTAAATTCACTCTCTCTCTCTCTCTCTCTCTCTCTCTCTCTGTACCTACCAGCTGGAAAAACAGTAACTGCTAATTTTTGCTCTTACTCTCCCATTTGTTGCTCTTCCTTACCTCTGTAAAAAAATAGAAGACAAAATATAATACAAAAACAATATTGGGAAAATTTATGGTTCGTTTATTTCAATTACAAATTTACCAAATCATTATGACCATGCAACTGTTGTGACCAATTTACCTATATCACAGAAAACACATCCACAGAGCATGAAAAACAATTCAGAGACAATTTTTCACATTCCACAAACTACATCAATAATTCATTCTTTGTCAGTGGCCCTATCAGCAAATTTGAAGGAGAGGGTAAATATTCCCATTATTTATGCAAGGGAAGATGCTGGGAGCATAGCGAGGGGGAAGCACATTGTGTTAAGAGTGGCAACTGTCTCAGAGAAATCTTTACCCAAAGATATAAACCATTTAAACTAACAATCAACATAAGGTAACTCCGTACGGCAACAAACATTTGAACACAATATTACTTAAAAACACATGAAATTTGGGAAATACATTAGTAACAGGGTAGTTAATATTCAAATTTATTTTAAAAACCTTAAGTACAAAATAAATACTTTTAATAACACTTCAAATTTTAGGAAGGTGAATAAAAGAAACTAATGCTTTTCAGATCTGTTATTCTTTTGCTACACTGTTAAATACAATGTTAATAATTACAAGATGATTAAGTCATTACATGGCAGCTAAGGACAGGAATACAATGTACTATACAAACGGTCACCAACTTTGTATTCCTAGTGTTTCAAGTTACGAACAAGTAGCATTCTGGTGTTTCAACTCACGAACAAGTAGCATTCTGGTGTTTCAACTTACGAACATGTTATCTTCATGAAAGCAATGTTAAAAGGGAGGGTAATGTTTCATGGTCATGTTCATATTAGATAGTTCCTAGGTGCTTTGTGTGTGTGTGTGTGTGTGTGTGTGTGTGTGTTGTGTGTGTGTGTGTGTGTGTGTGTGTGTGTGTGTGTGTGTGTGTGTGTGTGTAAAAGACGGTTCCAAGGTGCTTCGTGTGTTGAAGTTGGCGACCTCCTGTACTGTAGACAGAAAAAAATATCGCACACACAACAGTGAAAACATCACTGTTACTCCCATAGTTCTCACCTTTACCACGAACACACAGAGTACTGAATAAGATAGATGATAACTCATCACAGCTGAAGATTGATGCACTTACTATACCTATGACTAGTTTGTCTAAAATTAATTCTTGCAACAATATTTGGCTTTCATGTTAATTTACATGGCAAATACAGTAAATCTTTGTTATTCACAATGTTATGCAGCCTGTCGTCACGGTGCTCGTGAAAAATATCATCACAACGATTCCTGGTTTCACTACGACACCGTGCTCTCAGACGTGTCACGTCAGTTTCGTTACTAACTCATGTTTGGGTAAATAAATGATTTTTTATAACCTATATCAACCTAGCCAATGCATAAAAATAAGAAGTTAAATTCAGCATCCATGAAATGTTCTGAAACTGATGCTAATTAATGTGTGAGAAAGTGTAACATGAGACAGGGTCGTTGTATTAATGAACTTTGACTAATTACAACAGACTCCTATGGATTTATCTGGTTATTTGCTTGTGAAGTGGAAGGTTCCCCGTTAACGAAATAGAGACCAGAGGCAGCCAGAGAATCCATGTCAAGACTCACACATATCAAGTCTTTTTCATTACTTGTAATGCATAAATATTAATACTGCTCACTTGTGATTCATTTAGGAGTATACTCTGATACAACAGTAGCAGTGTAACCATAACCATGGACACGGGTGCTGCTGCACTGTTGTTGATGCAGTCAAAGATTCAAAGCAGTACTGTGCTGTGGCTTCCTTTTATTTTGCCAAGAGCAATAATTTGGTCTTCCTGCTGCAAGCACGCTGTTCTGCCACACTCCCGCTACTCTCATTTATGAAGTTACTGTATTTTCGTATCATTATGCAACAGTGTCGTGCATCGTATCACTCATGCACATCAACACTGGGGAAGGTCAGTATACAGTACTCTTAAGAGGTTGTACATGTATGGTATGACAATACCGAAAAGATGAAGAATTAGATACACGTGCAGCATCTGGGTAACTTTATTGTAGACGTTTCGCCATCCAGTGGCTTTATCAATACAAATACAAGGACATAATTGGAAGACAGTAGAACTATATACAAAATGACTGATTACCTCATCTTTTGTATATAGTTCTGTCTTCCAATATGTCCTTGACCTTGTATTGATAAAGCCATTGGATGACAAGACGTCTACAATAAAGAAACCCAGATGTTGCACATGTCTAATTTTTCACTCCTAAGAGCAAAAAAAGTGATGAAGTTGAGCGACAAAATGAAGTTCGTGGAAGTTCCTTCCTGCATGTGCTGACACCATAAATAATCAATCCACACTCCATTACACTGTCTTCATTTTTGTTGATCTACTGTTACTTAATATTTGCTAACACTTTAGTAATGTAACTCTCATGAATAACAAAGTTTTCTGTAGCTATAAAACTATAAAGCAAGGTGAGAAACTGTAAAGTCATTTTACTGCAGTCACGCTAGCTGACAGTCTTCATAGTTACGTTCTATCGTAGCAACACTTCCGCAACTACTTTTCGTCACCTCAAAAATTTGAAGTATATGTGGTGTATTAGAGATAACTACAACGGTTTATCGTGTATTATTCTTCCATATCATACTCTGGGGATCCACTGATGTGAGATAACAGAAACTTGAGGTGAGTTTCAGGAGACATGAAGGTCGCCCTAACAGCTGGCTCCTCCTTCATGTTTGTCATCCATGACAACTGCAGAGGCAAGGAACACACCGTCAAACAAAGTGGTATCGTCTAATCTGCTTGTTAAATTGTGTGTCTTCAGATTTGGTATTCAAGGCTCTGAACTCAAGTCTGTAAATCATAGCTTGGTTTGAATATTAGATGATGAGTTATGACTTAGACTAGGACCAGTGAACCTCTTTGAGACCATGTGTCCAAAATGTGGTTTTCAGAAAAAAATACTTTGCGTTGACTATGGTAATTTTGAGCAGCAAAATTATTAATTTTATATACCGCCATAATTTAGCATTTTAGTTATTATATTAGAATATACTTTGTATTTTATAAGTATAGAAAATTATACAATCATGTATAATTTCATAAAATCATATTGGGCTGCATCAAAGTCTTTTTCAAGATTTTTAAAAAAATTATTTGCAACCACGAATGGTCCAAGAAAGATCCCAAAATCCAGTTTTGTGCATACGATAACGTAATTATAGCAACAGAACGTTCCTTGAAAAGAGGTACTACGCATGATGGCCCAGTCAGCCAGCCTCAACCCTTCCCTAATATCGCACTTTTAGGGAGTTGTGAAGTATTATGCTCTCCAGACCACCAGCAGTTAGAACAGTGCTAGAACAAATGGTGGAACTTAAAATAAAACACCAGCTAAGTTGGTCAATACGTGTAATAAAGTGAGGTACCGACGTGTTACCGGCCACTGGAGGTACACATGTTCAGGCTGTATGGATTAACAACCGTGACGGCTGTATAAAACTATCAGTGCAGCTATCATATGCATAAATCTGAATTTTCGTATCTGTTACAATTTCCTTGAGGAACAATGAAATAGCAAAAGGACTGTGTGGACAAACGATAGGGAAAAGGATGGATGTTGGGCGTGCGTGAGTGCGTGTGTGCGCGGCTCACCTAATTGTGGTTGCAGGGGTCGATTCATAGCTCTTGGCTCCGCCTCTTCACTGGCCAATACTAGGTCACTCTACCTGCTCCATGAGCTTTATCATACCTTTTCTTAAAGCTACGTATGGATCCTGCCTCCACTACATCACTTCCTAGACTATTCCACTTCCTGACAACTTTGTGACTGAAGAAATACTTCCTAACATCCTTGTGATTCATCTGAGTCTTCAAATTCCAATTGTGACCCCTTGTTGCTGTGTCCCATCTCTAGAAAATCCTGTCTGTCCGCCTTGACGATTCCTCTCAGTATTTTATATGTCGTTATCATATCCCCCCATCTCTCCTGTCCGCCAGTGTCGTCAGGTCGATTTCCTTTAACCTCTCCTCGTAGGACATGCCCCTCAGCTCCGGGACTAGTCTTGTTGCAAACCTTTGCACTTCCTCTAGTTTCCTTGCGTGCTTAGCTAGGTGTGGGTTCCAAACTGATGCTGCATACTCCAATATAGGCCTAACATACACGGTGTACAGTGTCCGGAATGCTTCCTTATATTAAGATGTCGGAATGCTGTTCTTAGGTTTGCTAGGCTCCGGTATGCTGCAGCAGTTATTTGGGTGATGTGCGCCTCAGGAGATGTGCCCGGAGTTATACTCACCACAAGATCATTTTCCTTGAGTGAGGTTTGTAGTCTCTGGCCCCCTAGACTGTACTCCGTCTGCGGTCCTCTTTGCACTTCCCCAATCTTCATGACTTGCACTTGGTGGGGTTGAACTCCAGGAACCAGTTTCTGGACCAGGACTGCAGCCTGTCTAGATCCCACTGTAGTCCTGTCTGGTCCTCCTCTGATTCAATTCTCCTCATAAACTTGACATCCTCTACAAGCAGACACACTTCTGAGTCTATTCCTTCCGTCGTGTCATTCACATATACCAGAAACAGTACCGGCCCTAGGACTGACTCCTGTGGAACCCTGACACCTCGTTATGTACCATTACTCGTTGTTGCCTCCCTGTCAGATATTCTCTAATCTACTGCAGTGCCTTTCCTGTTATGCATGCCTGATCCTCTAGCTTTTGCATTAACTTCTTGTGAGGAACTGTGTTGAAGGCCTTCTTGCAGTCCAAGAAAATGCAATCTAGCCACCCCTCTCTCGTCTTCTGTTAGCTTGCCATAAAACTCCAGTAGGTTTGTGACACAGGATTTTCCTTCCCTGAACCACGTTGGTTGTTCATAATCTTTCTCTCTAGGTGCTCCACCACTCTCCTCCTGATAATCTCCATGACTGCATACTATACGCGTCAGTGACACTGGTCTGTAGTTTAATATCTCGTGTCTGTCTCCTTAAAAATTGGGACTACATTTGCCATCTTCCATACCTCAGGTAGTTGCCCAGTTTTAATGGATGTGTTGAAGATTTTTGTTAGTGGCAGACAAAGCATCTCTGCTCCCTCTCTAGGAACCAACGGAGAGATGTTGTCCTGTCCCACCGCCTTTGAATTATCAAGTTCACATAGCACCTTCTTCACCTCCTCCTCGGTTATGTGTATTTCATTCAGCACTTGCTGGTGTATTCCTTGTTGGTGTACCACCCTATTCTGACTTCCAGGA